ACAAAAGGAAGTCTTATGATATTTGCAATGATATCTGTCCACTTTGTTTTGTTTCTCCTTTGGTAAATAGACAAGCTGGATTCCAAAGCACTAAATATATTAATGCAGCAGCTAATAATTTCTATGTAATTTCATTTGTATTTCAAACTGAAAGCCCAGTTAAATGCAATTGAAACAGGGGGTCCTTGGGAATGATTAGAGTGTCTTTGGATACAATATTGCCCATGTGTGATACAGCTACACAATGAGAACACAAGTAAATCTGACATGGGAGCCTGTCCTCTGATTTGAGCCTACACTGTACTATAGCAAGTCACTTTGAAGTAGTGTCTATCACAAGGGTGTCAAACTCAGGTCATCATGGCATCTTCACATGACATATCAGGACTTTTTCCCCCTTTGCTAAACTGGGGATGGCCAGCATGTGACGCACCTGTGGGCGGGGAGTTTCACAGCCCTGGTCTATCACATTAGGCTAGAAACCAGGAGACTGTGAATTCTAGTGCTGCCTTAGGCACAAGTCCTGCCTTAGGCACAAAGCCAGCTGGATAAACTTTGACCTGTTTCTTTTTTTAAAGCCTTAGGAAGGGGACAGTGGCAAACCAGAAGTGGTATTCAGCAGATTCTGACCAGTTCTGGAAAACTGGTAGTGGAAAGTTTGATTAGTTGAGGAGAACTGGCAAATACCACCTTTACAGTATCCTTCCCCTGCCACGCCCACCAAGCCACGCCCACAGAACCATAGTAAAAAAAATTGAATCCCACCACTGTGGCAAACCACTTTTGAAAAACCATGTCAAGAAAATTGCGGGGACTTGTCTAGGCAGTCTCCTTGAATCACACATTATTGAATAGAAGAAAAAAGAAATAGTGCTAAGAGTACGGAACTGCTTGTTCTTCTCTGCCCATAGTGCATTGATGGACTATGCAGTGGTAATGTTTAAGGTGACTTGCTCTTGGTTAGGGGGACATGGATGAGAAGGCCTACCTGAGGCCTCTGAGGCCATTAGGTTTGTTTGCTGAAATCTTAACTCTTCAGGGATGGAGTCTAAAATGGTGACTGGCACAATGTCTTGCAACATATCTGGGACTCCTTATAGCCTACGGACTCCAATGAAGTAGAAAAGTCACATTTTCACATCAATACCTATAAAGCAACACTGGCTAAAGCATGGCTTGAACAGATGGAAGATCTGCAAGAATGGGTGGAAAAATAAACAGCCAATGACTGGGTAATGTATATTATGACAATCTTGCTGGACAATTTAAGTTCAAGAATCACTGTATAATTGTAGACAGAGTGTTCTGGTGAGTCATAAACTCTTCTCATAAAAAAAAAAACCCAATTGAATTTAGAAACAAAGAATCAGATTTTTTCCATTGGTGATTCTATACATTTAGGATTTAGCACTTTAAAATAATAAAAGCCATATAGAATTGTGGAAAAGTACAAAGTTTACTGGGTTGACTTAAGCTAACAAAGGAAACGCTATAGGAAATGCATCCAAGACATGAAAAAAATGATGGCCTCCATCTTTTCCCAGGACTGAAAACATGTCTGATGTAGAACCTTGAAAATGTTCATCAGTTTATCCATATCTGTGGGCATAATGTTGAGCTTGGGCCACTGGGCTCAGTTGGTAAAAGGCACTATGCTTGTATGAAGCCTTGTTTTTGAAAAATGATTTTGTACTATCTCAGATAGCTTTTTATGTTTCAGATTTACCTTACAGCGAAAGATAATACTGTCCATCATTGGTAAATAGGTATCTTTGTACAAATTTGATTACTATCACAGAAAACCATTTTCTGAAATGCCCAAGGACTGGAATTTGTACCTGTGAGGGTAGTTAACCATTAATCTGCATTTGCTTAATACGCTGAATTATAATTTAGCTATATAGCCTAGATTTGTACGACATACTATGCCACAAACTAGGCAGTTACATTTTAGCCTACTGTATTACTATATATGAACTCATTCACAGCTAGGCAGAACTTTTAATGGCTGGAGTCAACAAAAGGAGGTGATGGAAGTGTGACAAGTAACCAGCAGTAGGCAAAAACAATTTTTAAAAGTGAGAGTTTTAATAGCAATAGCACTTAGACTTATATACCTCTTTATAGTGCTTTACTGCCCCCTCTAAGTGGTTTACAGAGTCAGCATATTGCCCCCAAGAATTTGGGTCCTCATTTTACCCACCATTTTAATCCTGAGAACATACTTTTTGCCTTGAAAATTGGAAGCTATTAGGAGAAATTAAAATAAAACTGAGGAGCATATGGCAAAGAACATTAAAATAAGCAACATTTAAAAAAAAAAAATCTAACTAACTGAATATGAATCAGGTCCAAAAAGCATCTACTCAAGAATTCTTAAATACTTCAAATACTGATGTTGTCAACCTAGAAAAATAATTGCCATGTATAGAATAGGTGGTACCGGCTCAACAGTAGTAACTCTAAGAGGGATCCTGGAGTCCTAGTAGACAATTAAATAAGAGCCAACAGTGTGCTGTAGCTGCCAAAAAAGCCAACATAGTCCAAGGCTACATTAACAAGAAGGACAGAATCAAGATCACATGAAGTGCTAGTAACACTTTATAATGCCTTGCTATATTGCACTTAGTTTTGATATGATATAAAAAAGTTGTGGAGACTCTAGAAAGAGTGCAGATAAGAGCAACAAAGATGATTAGGGAATTGGAGGCTAAAACATATGAAGAATTGTTGCAGATATGTCTAGTTTAACGAAAAGAAGAACTGGGGTGACATGATGGCAGTGTTCCAGTATCTGAGGCGCTGCCACAAAGAGGGTGAACGTAGTCTCCAAAGCACCTGAAGGAGAGTCAACCTAGAAGGATAAATTTCCTGACAGAACCATTAATCAGTGGAATGACTTGCTACTAGATGTTCTGGGTGCTCCAACACTGTAGGCTTTTAAGAAAAGATCAGACAGCCATTTGTCTGAAATGGTAGAGGGTTCCTGCTTGAGCAAGGTTTGGACTAGAAGACATTGAAGGTCTCTTCCAACTCTTATTCCTGTCATATTAAATGAGGATAATTCAGTAAAAAGGAATTCTTCTTTACACTTGTTAAACTATGTCTAGTGATGGCCTCTAATTTAGATGGATTAGAATGGCTATCAGATTTGAGGGCTATATTTTACCACCCAGAATTACAGACAGTAATTTTAAACATTGATTGCTCGAGAAAAATGGCGGAAGCAGATTATTCCTTCATGATCTGCATGCAGGTTTTTTGTATTGCTTGGCTGGCCATTGTCCTAACACAGAATGATGGACTATATCAGGGGTGTCAAACTCATGTTGTAATGGCAGCATCACATATTGGGACTGTTTTCCCCTTTGCAAAACCAGGCACGGGCGTGGCCAGTGCATGACACATCCGGCCCATGGGCTGGAAATTTGGCAGCCCTGGACTATATGATCCCTCAAACACATCCAGGAGGACTTTTCTTGCTTCCCTTCATTGTAGGCAGCTTCATCTAATATGCTAGAGTGAGCAAAAATTAATCTGCAATATTTTATCAATTAGTGTGCTACATGAATCCAAGTTACCACATTTTAAAAAACTCTTTATTTACCATCCTGAAAATGTTAAACTGCTTAATTGTTGTTAAGCAAGTTATCAGATTTACAACAGTCTGGTGTACATTACTAGAAATTGTATAAATTGCATAATAATGTTCTTAGATTTAGCCCATTTCATAAATAGAGACCAGTTTTTAATTCTGGGGAAGAAATCAGAAACACGTTTTTAGAAAAAATATGTCAAATCCTTCAGATGACATTTTTAAATCTCTCTTATCTTAGAATACTTCATCAAAGTTGTCTATTTGAAATTAACTATTATGGGTTTTAGAAGTTTTTTTCCTCGTTCCAAACTCTAATATTTTATTTGCTATGATTATTTAGCATTTCTGTAATGTTTAGTTCCAGAAATTTTAATGATTCAGGCCATTTACTTTCATAATTATTTAATTTTGTTTGCAATTTCTTGTATCACTGCCAGAATTCCTTTTGTGTTTATCAGAGGTAGGGTTTTTTTCTTTGAGAGTGAGAGAAATGCCAAAAACCTGTATCTACAGTTAACACAACAAACATGTTAATTCAAAGTGTAACAACTACAAATACTGAACTTCATGTGACAAATACAGTAATAGAAAAATAATTGGAAAATGAAACTGCCAATATTGGTGTATCCGTGTTTTTCCACCTCAAGAATGGAAAAAAGTAATCCAAGTGATTTAAGTTAAAATTAATGCAGTTCGATTTAGATCAGACAGCAATAATCAAAACTGTTAAGCTACTGAAGCTAAACTTCCTTGAATTTTTGGTGAAGAATCATCCATAGATGCAGAAAATGCATTGTCCTCAAAAATTTCAAACAGACTTTCTTCAGGGTCATTCTAAAAAAAAACAATTTCAGTTTTGCAACTGCTTAGAGAGAAAAAGAAAAAAAAATGGTTCTGCTTAAGGTCAGCCCTAACAATCATCTCAGTAATATCTTGGGCTAAATAAATACTAAATATTAAATATTTGGGAGAATAATGCACCTTGTGGGGTTCAGATTTGTCTTGTGTGATTGCAGTAGTTCTTTACTGAATTTGGTGTTGTGACGGTGACTTACCTCTTCCTATTCCTCTGTACCAACCACTGCCTTTAAATGAATAAAGAAAGACTGCATCATCCAGATACTGCACATACCAAATGTACAACTTTATGGAATCATTTTCAAAAGAAGGGGCAAAACAATAGCAAGGAACTATTGTATTGGAACTATAGTGACTTCAACATGGAATTTTTGAAACCACATTGATGAATGCTCCTATTCAAGGAGATTCTAAGAAGGCCTGGCCAAAGAAGTTCTTTAGAGCCTGTCCATGTATCAAGATTACGTAATATCTTTGAAAGCTATGCATTTCTGATTCTCCAGTGCCAGTCCATGAAGCAACATGACTTTAATGATTCTAATAGCAAGCATGGTAACAGTAATCTCACACCAAAGTTATTTTGCTCTTTTTGATTTATATCATGATATGACATATCATTTATGTCACGATAAACTTATTTCCCTGAAGTTACAGAATATTGATGAATATGGGGATAAAGGATCCTTGGTATATTTAGATTTCAAAAAACGTGAAAAGCAGAGTTACAATTATAGGGATAACTACAGGTGAAACTCAAAAAATTAGAATATCATGCAAAAATTCATTTATTTCAGTAATGCAACTTAAAAAGTGAAATTAATATATGAGATAGATTCATTACATACAAAGCTAGATAGTTCATGATTTGTCATAATTGAGGTGATTATGGCTTACAGCTCATGAAAACCCCAAATCCACAATCTCAGAAAATTAGATTATTACATGCGATCCATAAAACAAGGATTATACATAGAACAATATCGGATCTCTGAAAACTATAAGCATGCATATGTACTCAGTACTTGGTTTGGGCCCCTTTTGCAGCAATTACTGCCTCAATGCGGCGTGGCATGGAAGCTATCAGCCTGTGGCACTGCTGAGGTGTTATGGAAGACCAGGAGGCTTAAATAGTAGCCTTTAGCTCTTCTGCATTGTTCGGTCTCATGTCTCTCATCTTTCTCTTGGCAATACCCCAAAGATTCTCTATGGGGTTCAGGTCAGGGGAGTTTGCTGGCCAATCAAGCACAGTAATCCCATGGTCATTGAACCAGGTTTTGGTGCTTTGGGCAGTGTCGGCAGGTGCCAAGTCCTGCTGGAAAATGAAGTCAGCATCCCCATAAAGCTCATCTGTGGAAGGAAGCATGAAGTGCTCCAAAATCTCCTGGTAGATGGCTGCGTTGACCCTGGACTTAATGAAGCGCAGTGGACCAACACCAGCAGATGACATGGCTCCTCCAATCAACACAGACTGGAAACTTCACAATGGATTTGAAGCATCTTGCAGTGTGTGCCTCCCCATTCTTCCTCCAGACTCTGGGTCCTTGGTTTCCAAATGAAATGCAAGAGTTGCTCTCATCAGAAAAGAGGACTTTGGACCACTGAGCAACAGACCAGGGCTGTTTTTGTTTAGCCCAGATAAGACGCTTCTGACCTTGTTTGTTGTTCAAGAGCAGCTTGACAAGAGGAATATGACATTTGAAGCCCATGTCCAGGATCCGCCTGTGTGTCGTGGCTCTTGATACACTGACTCCAGCCTCAGTCCACTCCTTGTGAAAGTCCACAACACTTTTGAATGGCCTTTTCCTGACAATCCTCTCCAGGCTGCGGTCATCCCTGCTACTTGTGCAGCTTTTTCTTCCGCGCTTTTCCCTTCCACATAACTTTCTATTAATGTGCTTTGATACAGCACTTTGGGAACATCCAACTTCTTCTGCAATTACCTTTTGAGGCTTTCCCTCCTTATGGAGGGTGTCAGTGATGGTTTTCTGCACAACTGTCAGGTCAGCAGTCTTTCCCATGATTGTGATTCCTGCTGAACTAGACTGAGAGACCATTTAAAGGCTCGGGAACCCTTTGCAGGTGTTATGGCTTAATTAGCTGATTAGAGTGGGACACTTTGAGCCTAGACTATTGAACCTTTTCACAATATTCTAATTTTCTGAGATTGTGGATGTGGGGTTTTCATGAGCTGTAAGCCATAATCATCTCAATTATGACACATCACAGCTTGAACTTTCTTGCTTTGCATGTAATGAGTCTATCTCATATATTAGGTTCACCTTTTGAGTTGCATTACTGAAATAAATGAACTTTTGCACAATATTCTAATTTTTCGAGTTTCACCTGTATTTCTAAAACAATTTCCCCCAATCTAGTGCTCTCCTCACCTCTTGGAACTAGAATTCCAGAATTCTGTAACTGGAAATTTTAGGAACTTCATTCCCCTCTTTGAAGACATGAGGATGATGAAGAATGTTTCCTTAACTATATTTGCTTTGCTCTTTTGTGTATTCCAGCAACATTCTCCAGGGCATTCTACTATTTTAAAAAATCCGGAGAGGTTTTAAAAGGCATGGGCACCAAAATAACAAACTATTTTAGCTTATTATAGTTTTCAAATGGTTACAGTCTTACATTTCCTTGAAGCGTGAATACATTTAATGCTTTCTATTAGAAAAGTTCCCTTAATATTTTTCTCCCACAAATCTTTCTTTGACATATGAAATAAACAAAAACAGAGGCAGATGGATAGAAAAGTTCTTTTTAAGTACACTGAGATTTCTAGCAGCTTTTACATGATACAAAGGGGAGGGGATAAATAAATCACATAAGGTGCAATCATTACAGGTAATAGGGTTGCTAATTAAGCCTTCACTCAGAAACAGGCTAATGCACGTTCTTCCAGAAAAAGACTAGTTTAGAAGTTGGTTGGTGGGTAGGTGATGGATTTGAAGTTTAACAGTAAAATCCTAACACTGTGTCTCTAGCAGAGGTGGAAACCTCTAGGTCTCCAGATGTTGATGAACTACGATTCCAAGAGCCCCAGCCAGCATGGCTAATGGCAACTGTAATTTACCAACATTGGGGCAACCACAGTTCCTGCACCCTTAATGTATATAAGCAGTCCTACAGCAATTTCAATGTTCCTTCACTTTTTTTTCAACTATTTATTGAGCTAATTACAGAGAGTGTATAGATGTTAGGACAATTGTGCTTATCCAGCCCCTGATGTAAACAGTAGTAGTTCTGATTGCTGTCAACCTAATAAGATTCTTTTGCTAGGGAAGTTATACATTCTGGATATGTCTTGATGACTACAATGACTCCCAGCGGCTAAAAGAGAAACTACATGTATTATATAGTTACAGCATGTTGCTGTTCTATTTCTTTTCACTAATTCTCAAGTCAGTAAGCAAAATCAAGATAAGTAATGCAGCACATGGGTTTAGGAGGGCTACCTCTTTCTTTTTTTACTGTTTCATTTTCAACTTCCTTCCCCCCCGCATCACTCCCAAATTACGAACGCATAATACAAATAGAATGAATAAGGGGAAATAATATTTCTAGCCCTTTTCTTTCTCATTTCCAATTAACCTTCACCCAAAGGAGCATCCCAAGTGCCTTTTTGTGATGAGTCTTAAAGATTTAACTAGTCTCTCCTAATTCATCCTTACAGTAACTTTGTGAGAAATTCCTAGCCTGAGAGATGGGCTAATCAGGAACTTGAACACGAGTCTCCCTAGTCTAATTCCAATACTTTTGACCATTATCCTGCTGGAGCAAGACTTTGGCTGATCTTAGAAGGCAAGTGGGGTTCGTCTAGCTAGCACCTGAATAGCTAGCTACATAAGAATATTTTGGAGATAGGCTAGATTGGAAAGTTGAAAAACCATCGCAGAAGAAAGCAGTGGCAAATTATTTCCATAATACCATCAAGAAAACTACATGTGTGCATCAAGAAGAGAAAAACTCAATTAGCACTATACTAATTGTTATTAAGATTAACAAGAGTCTATGGATCTCCAGCATACTTTCTATTTTGATCCTCCTGGTGCCTCATCTGATGTGACTAAAGTCACTAAATTGCAAAAATTAATTATTTGATTACTCTTCCTAAGCCTGCCCTTATTGTCATCACATAATGCTGGGGGAGGGGGATTGCAATTAATTTCTTTATGGTGATATTACTAGCTTATTTACCAATGGGTTTTCCATTAATGTTCATAGATTCCTGCAAAGCTTATAAAGGATTGCAAGAGAATGGGTTAGACAGTTTTGTTCTCCATCAATTACCTTATGATATTTTTGACCTTATATAATATGTCATTAACAGAAGGGAAATCTAATATTCCAGCTTATATACTTTCACTGATACAGTGATTAGTATCTTTTGAAAAGGCCTGCCTCTATTAAAAGTGAAATTATAATAATAAAATGTAAGTTAGTGTAAAACTGGCAAAAAAATAGAAGAGGGAAGTAGAGATTACCATATAATGCTTTTTGTAAGGGAAGAAAAATAATAATGATTTTTAGCTGTCTAATTTTGTGACTGACGTTGACAAATGAATGCTTGTACAAACACAAGCACACCACTGGCATGAAATGGGTTTATTACAATTGCTGTATATTCTATGGCTATTTTAGAGATCAGTAAATTCTGGCATATAAATTGAGAGCTTCTTTGGGGTTTTCCAGTTGAGAACGGCTTGGCCATTCTAGTACGTACCTTTCAGGAAACCAATAGGGAGTCTGAACTAATCCTTGCTCAGAGAAACCACATATCCTAAAGCCAATCTCATAATGCTTGTTGATCATCAAGATCTGAAGCCCCACTGGATTCCAAGGCAGAAACTACTGTACATATACAACACAGCAAGGAAGTTTATGTAGAAAGTTCACATTTGGAGCTGCTTAATGTCTCAAAATATATCTGTGCTGATATCTGGAGTTGCATAGAAAAACAATAATATGGAGGGAAAGGGATTGTTGTCTTCACTCTGCAGTGATATCGTCAGTTCCTATAGTGAAAATACATTCAAAAGGTTACACAAAACAATGTGGAAAGAGAGAGAATATTATTTAGAATTATTTTGCCTATTTGTTCCTTTGATCTTTTCAATAGCTGATTCCAGGTTAAGCATCAAAATATGTTTTTGTTAGCAACCAAGCTCCAACTGGAAGCCATAGTTTGATGTTCTTAATTCTGACTTTTTAAACTATGATTTGTTAACTTGGTTTGTCCTTATTTCTTTTTGTGTTCTACCTAAGCTTGTTAGCAATCCACAAAGATGCAAAGTTTCAAAAAGGTTGCCCTTCTCAAACAAAATTGAATTTTTTTCCAAACTCCCAGTTTTCCTTTTCAACAGCATTTTTGTCAATAGTACCTTCAATATTATTTGACAAACAATTGTGATCTGTTTTCATATATAGCTAAACTATAACCCACAGTATAAAAATCACAATAAGTGGGTTCATACATATTAAGCCAAAATCAATCAGCACCATTTGTGAAGTAAGCATTATGTATGGCTTAATAACAACTTAATAATGTCAAATGCCAAGAAATAGTGCCCATGTGGAAGACTGAAGCAAAGATGGCAAGACACAATAAATGCAGACATGAAAAGTAGACCTTGCCATTGCAGGAATAACTATAGGAAGGCAATGAGATGATGAAATGCCAAGAAATACCCCTCATTTTTTAATTTGGAAATGATTTTTCTTTAAATCATTTTAATAGAACAAGAATTATGAAACTTATTCAGATTTTAAGATATTTTTGTTTGCTTTTTTAATTAAGAAAATTGAGGTAATGAGGGTATCACAGAAACAGAAATCAGTTGCTATCAGTATATTTATGATTTCAGCCCTTGTGGCACAATAGTTAGAATGCAGTTTTGCAGGCAAACTCTGTCCACAACCTGGAATTCAATCCTGATGGGGCTGAAGGTTAACTCAGCCTTCCATCCTTCTGAGGTCAGTAAAATGAGGACCCAGATTGTTGGGGACAGTATACTTACATTGTAAACCACCCTGAGAATGTTGTAAAGCACTATGGGGTGGCATGTAAGTCTAAGTGCTATTGCTATATTTACCTGAAACATCTTCTGAAGAAAAAGTAGCAAACAAATATATTAAGATTCCTCTTCTTCTTCCTCTTCTTCCTTTTCTTCTTCTTCCTCCTCCTCTTCTTCTTTTTCCATTTTTTCCTCCTCTTCTTCCTGTGTTGCTTCTACTTCCTTTTGTTACATAAAATAATGGAAGAATAGTCAAACAATGGAGCTAAAAGAAACTTCTGTTGTGTTAAATGTGCATATTTTCTCATGGAACAAAAACAGAGGCTTATGCTACAAAGCAAAGTTCATATTGATTTAAAAGTAATCAGGTCCAGTACTCTTGACATGCCACTATTAAAGTGGCCTTTAATACTGACATAAATTGTGAGTAAGAAAGAATTCCTTCATTTGAACATAGCATATACCATATGCAATTATAATGTATTGCCAGATATTTCATTTTGTTCAATAAAAATGTAAACTCAAAAATGTTAAGTGTCTTTACATAAGCACATAAAGACATGTAATCAACCCTACTGATTAAATGAAAACACAGAGGCTATTTTCTTAGTCCAAAAAGTCAACCAACTTAACTTTCTACATTAGTCTATACACATTCATGCATACACTTTATAAAGAGTTGTTTAGAATAAATCCTTTGACTTTCATGCCTTACTATTTAACTAGGCAATCATAAGAAATCTCATCAGCATACAGTTATACTTACTATGTTGGGAGAATGGTTTCTAGAACACATCAGAGCAAGTAATCTACATAGATTATCTACATAGATATGAGTCGGGTGGCTATATAAATTTGTTTAATAAATAAATAAATTAGTTGTATAAAAGTAAAATAATTGCATAAAATACAACTACAATTGAAATGGTAACTGCAGCTTAGCATTGGTTCCCTAATCAACCACAAATATTCACTACTCTCCGAACCTTAACACTGGCCAGAAGAGGCCGTTGTATTTGTGCACATGCCTAAGTTCAAATGATTATTAAGGTTAGTTCATAGTTTTAAGAGCAAATAATTTCATTAGAACAGGATTGGGGAAATTATTTAATTTCATTAGGACAGGATTGGAGAATGAATTATTTGTGGTGAAGGATGATGAGATTTGAATGCAAATGTTGCTTGTTAGATTTCAGTCCTAACAGTTATATTCCCAAAGTTAATTTGGAAGAAAAATAGCTGTCATGGTACATTTTAAATATATTTAAAAGCAACGGACACAGTGGAAAAATGCATATGAAATAAGGCATTCAAATTTGTTACTGTACTTCTGTTGCTGGCTGTTCTTCATCTTGTCCCTGAAACAGACCATGGAAGACTATTTTTAAAAAGAGATCTAAAAAGAAAACCAAAAAATGACAACAACGCTACCGTGGAGATACATATTATTCTTATTAGCGCAGTGAAAACCATCAACATTGTCTGTTATTTATTGACTCTCCAATTGCGTAGCATAGGATTTGTTGCTAGCTACAGAATTCAGCACTCGGTGAAAGTCATATTTCCTGCAATCAAGTGTGTGCGGTTTACCTTGAGTTTGTATCTATTGTGTGCTCTTGTATTGTTATGGTTGAAGCTGGCAGGTAGGACATTGCAATATATAATTTTATGTACTATACTTAGATCGGACCGAAGGTGGCGTAGTTCGAGGTTTTCTAGGTCTAGAATTTCAAGTCTGGTGCCATAAGGTATTCTGCAATGAGTAGAGGAGTGGAGAACTAGGCAGAGTTTTGGTTAATACTGTGCCAAATATTGTAAAACTTAGCCTTCTCATTTTGTTCTGCTTCTAAGCTTCCCCATTACCATTCCTGGGGAAGAAGATCAAGGGCCACAGATCTTTTGATGCTTACTTTCTATAAGGGTTTAAAGAGGTTGGGTTGATAGGGGACTAGCAGATAGAAGAGGCAAGAGGAACAGCAACAGGATATTTGCAGTGTAACTCTGCCAAGCCAATTCTTGACAACAATCTTGCTGTCATGTAATGCTTCATTTGAGTTAAACTGGAAATGAATTTAAACATAAGGAATAAGAAACAGAGGGTGTGTAACTTTAAAAAATGTTATGCTTGCTGTAATGCTGGGAACACTGTTGTTTTTGTTGCAACATGTTCCTTGCATTGCAATCAATTTCAGCTTGGAACTACAGATAAAAGAGCTTATTTTTATTCCTCCAGAAGGATGATTACTCATCAGCCCTTATCAATCATCTGCTTGGACAAATGAGGCTTGGAATTATGTAAGGAATGAGACTGTGTATGATAAGGTACAGTTTCATATTGTATCTCCCAACTGCATGCATTGCAGTCACAAAGAGCAGAGTCCAAGGCTACATTTGATTTTTTGGAGAATCCTGAAGGAGACTCCATCACAACTGTGGGTGAAGCAGATTTCTTTTTAACAATTGTATATCTGTTTTAGGGTTTAAACTTCAAAATAGCAGGACATTGTACTTCCAGCTTTCAGCAAATATATTCAAAGAGGATTCCAAGGGTCACAAAAATGTGAATTTGTTGCACAAAAAAACTTAGAGCTGCCTCAAATTCTCATGCATTCTGGTGAATCCAAAAAAGCTGTCCAACTGTGCTTGGTTGAAATGAAAACTGGGCAAAAAGAAGATGTATTAGCTCTGATTGGGCTCTTAGTCCAGGTAATCCTCAACTTACAATTGTTTGAAGTTAAAACAGCACTGAAGAAAGTGACTTAAAACTGGTCCTGACTGATGACTATTGCAGCATCTTAATGATCATGTGATCAAAATTGGATACTTGGAAACTGGCATGCATTTACAAAGGTTGCAGCATCAATGGATCATGTGATCATCATTTGTGACCTTCTCACCTGCTTCCAACAAGCAAAATCAATGGGAAAAGCCAGATTCACTTAACAACCACAGTGATTCACTTAATAACCATGGCAGAAAAAATTGTAAAATTGGATGTCACTCACTTAACAACAGCTTTCCTTAGCAACAAAAATTCTGGTCCCAATTGTCGTTGCAAGTTGAAGACTACCTCTATAATAGCTTATGCAGTCAAGTAATTGAGGGGCAAATAACATGGGTTTTGTTATTTGTTAACTAACATAGTTACCTTGCATTTTAATTTGATTTATTTTATCTCTTTTAAAATTATGTTCAGATTTATTAGCTTTTAACATTCCTAAACTGATAAACAAGCTGGAGACTAGTTCCAGATAAGTACAACTTGGGGTCTGGCTTATCTCTTTTGTGAATTCTAAACAATCTTTTTCCTTACAATTATGCCCCTTCAGACCTCATTTTAAAGAACATGTGTGCTATTATGGGATACAAATAGGTAACATGTTTGACTACATGTAACTGATTTCCTCTGCAAAGGGGAGGTTACTTTTATTTAGTCCAATCAACTTTCCTCTTGCATTTTCTTTGTTGGTGTTAACTATAAAAAGAAGGGGAAACATGAGGCTCAGGGTTCTCTTTTCCTTTTTCATAGAGAGACTTTATCAGGGTACCCTAATAAACTGCTTTTAAATGATCTAACAACTCAGTTGCTTATTAGAAAGGTAAACTGAGGCAGAACTTAGAGCCAGATTTGGCTTTCATAACACCATCCCTGCAGAACAGCCAGGTATCAGCAGGTTTAGTGGAAATCTAACATTTGGAAAATATTTATTTAGAAGAAAATGGAGCTGAACCACCAAAATCAGCTTCTGGTGCATGAATATAGGAATGCTGGGGGGCAGGGGGTGGGGGTGGGGGAGAAGGAGGGCAAACTAGTAGGGAGAAAAAAATGGAAGAGGACAGGCTGAATTCTGCAGCAGCCATCTTGCTGCAGGTCACATTTATAAATATTCAAAGACTCCTTTCTTGTACAAAATGTAGAGGAATAAAATTGAATGAGAAAAGTTTTGAATAAAACTAGCAAGAGAAAAAAGAATAACCTGTGCTTCAGTAGCCTCAGCCTGAGCTTCACCCTCACCCTCAGGCATGGCCTCAACCTCATCTTCCGCTTGCATCTCATTTTCTTCAGTAACAGAAGATTTTTCAGTCTCCTGGCAACAACATGTGTAATATTAGAAAGTTAAAGCAAAAAGATTAAATAAGCAATTTGAATTTCTCAATTCTCATATCTAATAAGCCTTATGAACTGGAATCACATGACTTAATGATGATCATTATGATGATTTTACATAATCTGATTTGGTCACTTGAATTTTTAAAGGCATAATTGAGCGATATCTACCTTTATGTTCTGAGCTTGCATACTTTTTCATGTTACATTGGTTCGACGTATACATTCATAGATTAATATGGCTATTTTTGCAATTTAGTCAGGCATGCTATTTCAACTTTAAAATGGTTAGGTCTGCAAACTCATAATTTCTGTTCACATAATGGGAGCACATTATATTTGAAGCAGCATTCTGACATCCTGGAGAGCTGTCAGGTTCAAACAGAAGCCCTATTCATGTCTTACTGATGAATAGGCCACACAGATATATTGGCAGATCTGGGAGAATGCTTTTCACTCACCCTTGATAATGCACTCAGGAGCTAGCTGTGTCTTCTGACTTCCCACACTTGAAAGCCTCAGTATGAAATTGTAGTTGTGATTTGGATCTCCACTGGTCTGGCATCTGGCCTGCCTAGAACTGCTCATAAGTACAACTATATGTACACCCTGAGCTTTTGCACTGAAGACAAATTCCTTGTGTATCCAATCATGTTTGGCCAATAAATGTTCTGTTCTATTCTGTTCCATTCTGTGCTTAACCTGAGATGATTAGAACACCACTCCACTTCTGCAATATACATAAGTATCCTATACGCCTGCATGCAAGTAGAAGAATTTCACTGGCAACCCAGTGTCTTTCATATGTTTGCAACCATGATAGTCTTTATAGATCAGCGGTCACCAACCGGTGGGCCGCAGCCCACTGGTGGGCCATGAGAAATTTTGGTGGGCCGCAGAGAAATCTCACCCCCAGAGCACCTCCACAAAGCAATTAATCCAGGCTGCACAGAAACACAAGGCTGAGCCACCCACATGGCCCATGGGAACCCTCCCCGCCCACTCACTCCTTACCCAGTAAACTTGACTGCTAAATTGCTATTTTTCCTTTTTCCAACCATCATCTGTTCTGCTGTGCCGGGAGATTTACATTAGCTAGGAAGCAGGAAATGGTTGGATTTCTTTTGCTTTCTAGCTAGTCTTTAGATCTTTGGCTCAACACAGCCGAACCTCCTTTAGGACTGAAGGTTTGCTTGCAAGCAAATTCAGTGCAGACTCAGGGCAAGCAAATTTAAGAGACTGAGCTAGCCGATGGCAGATAGATAAGATCACTTAATGATTCTGAGAGCAACTCAATCTGCCTGCTTTGCCTGATTTTGGGTAAAAGTTGCTCTTTTTTTAATAAAAAATTCAGTATTTATATTCATGGTGTATTGTAAGTTAATTTTCTGAGTTTGCCTGCTAGCAAATTTTATGTGACAGACTGAGCTAGCCAATGGCAGATAGATAGATCTCTGAATGAATCTGTGATTCTGTGAGAAACTCAATCTGCCTGCCTGCTTTGACAGATTTTGGGTAAAAGTTGCTCTTTTTTATAAAAAAAATCAATATTTATATAAATATTTATAATATTTACATACAAGCCATGCCCAGTCAGTCACATGACCACCAAGCCACACCCACAAATTAGGCCACACCCACAGAGCAGGTTAGTGGTCCCTGGGATCTAAAATTATGAGTTTGGTGGTCCCTGAGGTCCAAAAGGTTGGTGACCACTGTTATAGATAACAGGCAGATTAAACCTATTCCTTAAGAATTCTGGGGTTTTTTCCTTTGAAACTAAATTCAACAGAGACTTGCATGCATACACACATATTTTTACTACGGAAAAGAAAAAAAAATATTGCCTCTGCAGTTTTGTTCTCTTCTCCAGAAATATCCCCATTGGGCACAGTCAGTACCTCCTCTGTAATCCTCCCTTCCTGTGCAAAAGGATACAAATAATATTTGAAATTTTCTTGAAACTAGGTACAAGTAAGTGAGAAAGGCAGTTTCATGGCCTGAATGCACTGAAGTGATAGATTCAGGATATACAGTTGCATTCTTATGCCTTAAAAATGCAGCAGAAACCAGAGCAATTACTGGTTCTCTAACTTTTGTTATTTATTATCTCACTTTCTGGAAAACACAACATCAAAACAAATAGAAGGCATAGAATAACTTGGAGAAAACACTGAAGCATTATCTCATCCTTCCCTTCATTAATAGGTAATGTACTTCTTTGGTTATGATAATCTTTATATAGACTTCATTGGACCAAATGAGGATATTGCCTAAGGCCACAGATGCTAAAGTCAGAGAGTGCATGGATTCATAAGTTACACCAGGAGTGTCAAAGTGGATTTCATTGAGAACTGCATCAGGAAGGTGTTTGTGTTTGACCTTAGGGGGCCAGGTGGGCATAGCTGGGGTGGGCGTGGCCAGCTCGACGTCACTCGTGTCAGGGACACCTGTGGTGGCCCAAACGCTCTGCCAGTTAAAATGATGCTCGGGAGGACTGCATGCGGCCCTCCTGCACTCCATTTTCAGTGGCAGAGGCACCACGAGCCAGTCCTTCGCTATTTCCAGGGTGGCCCTGCAGGCCAGATCTAAGCATTCTATGGACTGGTTTGACACCCCTGCATTACACCTAAGGTATGAATGATGGTTTGCAAATGGCAATAATTAGGCATATACACCACTCTGATCCAAACCCAAACAAGCTATGTTATTGCTTAGTGTAATATGTGAATTTAGCCAAGAATCATGGATGGTATTTTGGAGGGAGGGAGGTTGTAGTCAAGGCCGGTTCCTCATTTTTTGAAAGATAGAGCTGTTGAGTAGTGTATTATGCAGGCTACCTGCACCTCTTAAATAAAACTATTCTCAGTAGACAATCTGCCCTATGAATAGTGAGTATTTTGACTGTTTCTGCAGAATGTACATTTCTATAATGTCATCATAACCCTGATAGTAAAACATCTTGAGTAGGTATATCATTTTTAAAAACAATGCAATATTACAATACTGTATCTCTACTTTTGACTAATCAGGGCAGTTCCAAGTGCAGATTAGTGCACAAATGCTATACTCATTAGGATTAAGAGGGAATGTAAATAAGTATTAATCAAACTGAATACTGATGCCAGAAATAAGTTTGGAGAGGCAAACTGCATGAAAAACTCTTTTTCAAATGTAAGAAAAGTATTTGTCCTGCATAGAATTTAAGTTTTCATTATAACTACATTGGTATTTATTCAAAAATGATGTATTTCTTTTCAATCATTATGTTTTAAGTTGTTTTTTAGGATTCCTGCTCTGTTTGAATTAAAAGAAAAGTAATATTGTTTTTCCTTTATTATCCCCTTATTATGACATAGAAGTGTAGAATCGCATCTAATTGTCCTTAAAGAAAAGATTCTGACAACAGAAGAGCTGTGGTGGTGCAGTGGTTAGGATGCAGTACTGCAGGCTACTTTTGCTGACTGCCAGCTGCCTGCAGTTTGGCAGTTCAAATCTCACCATGAGGTTGACTTAGCCTTTCATCCTTCCGAGGTCAGTAAAATGAGGACCCAGATTGTTGGGAGCAATATGCTGACTCTGTAAACCACTTAGAGCTGTAAAGGACTGTGAAGCGGTATATAAATCTAAGTGCTATTGCTATCTAGCTTTCCCATATAATCACTGTGTTTCAAATTACATTAATTGCATTAATCAGATAGAAAGAAAATTCTCAGAAATTTAATTTAGCACAAAAGTGTAGTGAAAGATGATCAGAAAACACAGTATATTCCATCCAACTCATTTTCTCTTTCCTTTTCCCTCACTTCCCTTCATAATCTTACAACATGTCAATGCTACTTTCCTTTTAAGGCAGAGGTGGGGAACTATGGCCCCTTTCTGACTTGTGGATTTCAACTCCCAGAATTCCCTGCTGGCTCAGGAGTTCTGGGAGTTGAAGTCCACAAGTCATAAAATGGCCATCATTCCCCACCTCTACTTTAAAGTATCAGGGAGAGGGGACATTCTCTTATGGAAAGGAATAACTATTTGGCTTTTCATAAATTTCTTGATTTTTTCTAGCTTCTTGATCTTAGTTTATACTCTCAGATATCTGTTGATCATTCAATTTAGAGTTTAATAATATCTGAAGGCAGTGGTGGGCTCCAACTAATTTAACAACTGGTTCGTCCTAAAGATCAGGTGAGCATGGCTAGGGCTGTATGTCATGGACCTGGCCAACTCGATTTCACTCAAACAGTACAACATTTTTATAAGACAAATCGAAAGAAAAATAAGATCCATAAGATAAATTCATACCATTGAGCCTAGTGGAGGAGCAAGTCCTAGGAATGAATAAATATAGTTTTCTTCTTTTGCATAGAAAAATGAATCAAAATCCTAAAAAGGAAACAAAAGCACATAAACATTACCTTAGCTTTTCAGATTAAACCAGTCTAATATAGCAAAGAAACAGGATTGTGGAATGTCACTTGTTTAACTATCCATCTGATTGACATATTAGCATAGTCTTTCACTGTTAGCGTTCTCCTGCATTGTAGTAGTGGTGGGCCTAAATTAATTTAGATCAAGAAATCTCTTTCTCAATTTTAGGAAGCATGTATATGCAATTCTTAAACACATTATCCTTTAATCACATTAAACTTTTTTTTTCTTACCCCACAATATTGTTCCTCATTGAATATCTGGGGAGGGAGAGGAATCCCATTTTGTGGCTTTTTTTCACCTGGAACATTTTCTCTCATCCATTTTCGATTGTCTTCATCACAGGCTATGTCCATTTCCTTAAAATCAATTTTATTGGCCTCTAAAAAGCCTACTACTTCTTGTTGTTTCTTTTTAATCTGGTCAGATAAAAGAGAGAAGATGAATTTATTATTTCATATTTCAATTTAATGGAGGCATAACAACACAATCTTTTATTCAAATTATAGCTGCAGTTGAATATTTAAATGAAAAACTCAAAAAGAAAGACTACTTGCTTAGGACAGAGCAAAGGCTAATGTGAGAGAGTAAGAGTGACTATTAATAATGGATGATTCTTTTGCAAAGGAAGCACAATTATATATAATTAAGTCTTACTGATTTCAGCTTACCACCAATTTGTGTTTAGAATTGTACTATTATTTGGTAAGCTTCATTAGTCAGTCTTGGCTGATCTCAGAAAAACTAAGCAAGATTAGTCATAATTAGCTCTTGTAAAGGAGGCTGCCAGGATGAAGATCAGTTCTGACTGAATCCTGGCTAAGCTGATATTGCTATACTGGTGGCTTATCTTCCCAATGATCTGCAACATGGAATTTACCTTTCAAAGTAGAGTTAAGTACACATTGGGTCAATGCTTTAATTGGCTTCCCACAATAATTTGGAACTCAAGGTTTAAATAATTATCCGTGAAATAAGAAAAGATGTTAAATTTAAGTATTTTAGTCTCTAATCATTAAGCTCTTTATATGCAGCCATAGCCGGGCATAAAATGAGCATGGATCTTTTTTTTTTTAATACTATACCACCAAATAGCAAAGGCTAACTGAAGATTGCTATCATTGGACAATAAGCTCTAAATGGGCAGGAAGCAAAAGCCAATTTCTTTACTTTCACACACACACAAAATAAAGGGATAGAGAGATGCATTGTTGGATGTGAAAGAAATAAGGATGACAGTTGATAAGATGAACTGCTAGCAGGGATACAAATCAGATGTCTTGTCTCCTTCCCAACCCAACCCTCATAACTAGCCCTTTGTTCTTATATGACATCAACTGTCCTGTATTGCTTTCAGGTGGGAGGGGGAATTCTACCCCATTGCCAAGCACCGAAATAAAGTTCAGCTTTTAGTCCAGATGATTTATAGGGTTACTAGAATATAGGATGTTTTGCAGGCCATGTCTTGCAAATACAATTACTTGATTATATGAGATGTGGTCAGGAGAAGCAATTTATCTTACAATATTGGTAAGTGAAAAGAAGAGAGAAAACGTCTATGTACATTGTTGTTCCTGTGGGAGACAAGGTCATCCATTCTTGGAATGCATATATGTAATTCTCTTGTCACAGAATAATTTGTGGGCAAAGCAGTAACAGAGTTGTTTTTAGCTACCCTGGTCAGCACCCACTTAGCAAGGTTCATTTGTAAGGAATTGGAGGAATGTCTCACAATTACAGGGCTTCAAGTGTTTTAGTTTGGCAAGAACTTTTTCTGACGATTTCCAAGAGCAAAGCACAAATCAGGAATGAGGATCATTGGGCATCTGTCATAGCTGAACTTTTGCAAGTGTTCCACGATTCACCCTAGAGATAAGCAGTAGCCTCTATTTGTTTGGTGCTGTCTCCTTCAATGCTTTTGTATATTTAGACTCAGTGGGAGTAAGCAACCAAATCTGAATAAGGAAGAGATGAGTCTTCTGAGAAAGGAAGATTGATTAAGGGTAGCTTTCTCCTGTTCTCTAACCCCAAAACTTGCACTGATACTGGATGCAAGCAGTTTTGAAGTAGCAACTAGAAATGATAAGTAGCAATGAATAAATAAATCACCAGGAAGGAAATAGAATAACACTAGACTATGAACAAACTCCATATAAAAATGTCCAGGTAAATAAAAAATATTAATATACTGTATCTGCAGCATTGCATTTGTAGCGCAAACTTATCAATATCTACTTAAAACATAATGCCAATAAATGTAGTATGTCATACTTCTAAGCATTTATAAATACAAACATATGCATTTAACCACAAGACAAGGTTCAAATCCAGCCCTTAATCTTATTCAAACCTTCTATACAGTTCTTATGACTTCCTTTTTTAAACTCTAGTTCAGAAACTATCAGGCAGATTTTAAATCAGCCCAAAATGAGTACATCCAACAGAAAAGAAATCAACAAACCCAAATCTTAATTAAGTAGCTTTTATTTGTTGTCAATTAATTTGAAGCTTCAGCACAGAGATTTAGCAGTACTGAAATCAAGGTCTCTAGTGGGATGGATGAGCTTATTGGATGAAAGACTGGAAGACTTAAATTTCCTTTTCCCTTGGCATCCTCTCCCCAATCCCTGGGTTCCACAGCCTATATTATTTTATTGTGATTTCAAAGAACAAAAAAGAAAGAGAGAGAGAAACCAAAGAAATGATGTTAGGCCATCTTGTAGATTTGTGGTCTTGAAGAGTGTGTGTGACAGTGGTGGGATTCAAAATTTTTTTACTACTGGTTCTGTGGGTGTGGCATGGTAGGTGTGGCAGGGGAAGGATACTGTAAAATCTCCAGTCAGAGATGATATTTGCCGGTTCTCCAAATTACTCAAAATTTCCACTCCTAGTTCTTCAGAACTGGTCAGAACCTGCTGAATACCACCTCTGGTGTGTGACTATAGAAATTATCCCCTCCTTTTCTTCTTCCTTTGTGGAGAGGGAGATTAAATCACATTGGAGATAAACAAAATAAAACTGAATTAAAAAGAAGAAGAAAAAGTGTACAAATTTCATTGTGGATTAAGTAGTTATAAATAAAGCAAAGGAGTTAACAACACAGAGACATTCAAAATACAATAGTATTTGAAAACAGTTACCAACAGAAAAATCTATTGAACAATAAAAGCTTCTGAATGGATTATAAGATCCGATTTTCCTGTTAGTATTATAGAAACAATGTCAATGTAAAGAGGGGCCAATTTGCACAAACTGATTAAAGATAGAACTTGTATAAGAGAGAATAATTATTAGTGGCAATAAATTACAATATCTCTAGTCAAAGTAACCTTATGCATATTCATTGCGTATATGTCGGGAAGATTTGTGCAGGAAAGGAGGTAACTCTCCATCATTCCCAGTCAGAATTGCAGGGACAAAGGGACACCTTTACCAAATCAGATCTTTGGCCTATCTAATTCAGATTTATCAATCCAAGAAGCATTTCTTGTAGGCCTACCGTAAAGTGCCTGGGATCAATTCTGGAGGTTTTTGAATGCAAATCATATTCCTTAGTCCTGAGTATGAGTCCATCACAAGGGTACCAATGAGCAATTGTCACTGTTCATCCTTGCAATGGGATGTGCTACGTGGGGAGGAGCGAAGTTCATTCTGTGACCCAGAAGAGAAAATACAAGCTTCTCCTTGTCATCTGCTACATTCCTTTTAAGAATGGAAGCAGCTAAATAAAACAAACAAGGTTCCATATGTCAATAAACAATAACAAATGGTTTGTGTGGAAGCTCAATAAATCTCTGAAATACAGGTAATCCTCAACTTACAACCACAACCGAGCCCCAAATTTTTGTTGCTAAGCAAGATAGTTGTTGAGTGGTTTGTCCTCATCTTATCACCTTGTTTGCCACAGTTGTTAAAAGAATCACTGCAGTTGTTAAGTGAATCAAGTGGTTGTTAAGTTAATCTGGCTTCCTCCATTGACTCTGTTTATCGGAATCTGGCTGGGAAGGTTACAGCTGATGATCATATAACCCTTGGACAGTGCAACTGTCATAAAAACATGCCAGTTGCCAAGCACCTGAATTTTGATCACATGACCATAGAATGGTCGTAAGTGTGAAAAATGGTCATAAATCACATTTTTCAGTGCTGTTGTGACTTTGCGGGGTCAGTCACTAAATGAATGGCTATAAATCAAGATTACCCGTATTCTATATATAAATTCCATTTCTTGATTGTTGCCTGGATGATTTCAGGAAGAAAAATAACAGGTAAAAATTTAAAATCAACAACATATAACTGTAACTGAATCTACTCCAGTGAGACTACTCATCAAATTACTTTGACTGAAGATTTGATCTTTACAACAAATAGTTTCATTGTACAATTACTGAAGCATCTAGAATTAAGTTTTATAACAGCAGGACCATTAATACTGTTACTTTCCTTTTGTTTTTATAGATTTGTTGTTGGAAAGTAAAGACACATCATGATTTATGGTAATTATAACACGGCTTTACTTGTAGCTCTGCAAGCAGATTATTCTTTTTTTACTTTTTGAATTATAAGCTCAGACTCAAAAATAACCAGTTTTATGTTTTACTGTGGTCTGAAGGAATCTAGTGCTTTTCTAACATAAACAATAAAAAATGTGGAATATACCTTATATCAGTGGTCCTCAAACTTTCTCCAAGGAAAAATAAAGTAAAAGGGAAGAAGGTATTACTTGGGTCAGAAACAGTACCAAGCTTATTTCTGGGACAACTGACCACAGACTGACACATCAGCAAAGTTTATACAATTTTGGTGTGAATGAGATGTTTTTATGACCATGAGAAAACACGAAAAACAGCTTTTATAGTTAGAGGAAATATTCTGTTATCTTCTCTATCAGCAGAGATCTTCCTGGCTAGGCAGAGGTATAAGAGCATGGGTACAAGTAATAAAACTCCAATGCCTTTTCAATCTATCAATCTTGATAGATTCCAGGGCTATCTGCCAGCATTCTATTGCCTTTAAGGAATTTTATTAGTGGTATTTTATTAGCGGAGAGAGATTTCTCAGACTTCAGATCAGAAGGCTGTTAAAAGGAAGGGGGCAGATCAAAGGTTTTTTAATCAATCCCCACTTACGCATATTCAATTTATTGGATTTTGCACACCAATAAAAGTTTGTTAATGATTGTGGTAGCCATGATCTGTTTGTATGGAAGACTTTCTTAGATCTGACCAAGAAAAATACTGTCATTGCCAACTGTCAATATCTAGTTGACAGTTGGCAATAACAACTAGCCTTGTGCTGTGACCGGAACAATCTTGAACTAAACACACTCAAAACCATAGAAATGGTGGTAAATTTTAGGAGAAACCCTCCTATACTACCACTTCTTACAATACTAGACAACGCAGTATCAACAGTAGAG